TCAAGGACAGTTATACACTGAAATTACATTTTCAGAACTAGATAGTGAAATATATATTACATGACATTTTGTAGAATAAAAGACTACAGAATATACGGATAATTTAAATAAACATTTACTTTTAGGAGTTGGTCTTTTTAACTCTTATCTACTATGGTACTGACACAATAACAGACATTTTTGAAGAAAAGGTTTGTTTGTAAAATGGTAATTGGTAATATGAAATAGAATTATCATCCTAAACTATGTACGGAACACTGTCAATGACATAAATGGAATAACGATTTAATTGATCAAAGTTTTGAAGTAGACAACAAATAACGGTACATTGACATATACACCCGTTTGTAAATGAGAAGAAATTTCAATAGACGAATATTTTTGTACAATTAAGAATAAAGACAGTAATACTTAAAAAAATGTTAAATACATTGTTGGATTTCTGATGTTTATGCAAATAGAGATGATCGACTTATGGGTAATATTTGTGGTTTCTATCATATAGAATAACTATGAAGAAAAGATTAAGATTCAAAATGACTTTTATAATTATATTTATTCGTTTGCAATGAATACTTTTAGATTATTTAACAAAATCATTCATCTTTCTTGAATATGGAGAATTTCATTGTTATTTAATGAATTACTTTCAGATATATGTACTTGCCTATAATCTATAAATGGCTATATGCAGTTTTATTTGAAATATTAAGGCTAATAATATGAGTAATTGATCTAGTTTACATCTAAACTTATATCATGTAACTCCAGAATAATACTGTCTCAGTTATAAAATCAAAACGTAGAACAAATGGTAAACACTACGTTACATATCTATGCTGATTTATTTGTATTTACTTTGATAACTCAAGATATTTGAATAAAGTGAATATACTTTTATTATATATAATAACAAATATTAGCTAAATCAAGTCAACAAATCAAACTTAGATTTAACTAAATTTACACTATAAATATCTGTTTATGAGATGGTGGAGAAGATTTGTAGCTCAGTTGGATGATTTTGATGGAGTTTTATTCTCAAAACTTCAGATAGAAGTGAAGTGCTGATGATGTCGTTCAGAAGAAAGATGAAAGCTCCACGACCAAACCATCCATCAAAATATCTGTTTATGTTACATATCAATATATTCATGAGTTCATTCTATGTACTAAGTTGGAAGATTTCTTATCAGCAAACCATTTCGAATTGAATGCAAAATTTTATCCATCAGATACTTTATGAAGGCTCAAAATATACTTTTAGTGAAATTACAACATTAAATTAGTATGATATTTGGAATAAATTATTACTACTATCTGAAAGAATTTAAGGATATCTACATCAGAATTATATACATTCTAGATAGTATTAAGGAAATGTCACAATTTACATTTTTCATGTACGTAAAGCATAAATGAAATCTGGTTTTCCCTAAAACATAATACGATATTGTATTCTCATAGTTCTACAGTATAATCACGAAATTACAATTGTCTGGTACACAATGTCAGTATACAAATGTGATTAGGCTTGTAAAGTCACTTTTCGTTTTTCATATATATATAAGATCTCTATGAAGAATACAAGAAAAATCGGTCTGTAATTTCTAAGTATTCACCATTGTTTTCAAAGTAAGTTTATTGTAAAAGAGCTAATTGATATTCATAAGATATAAATGTTTTTTTTTATTGTACTCAAGTAGTTGAATACTGTTTTCTTTACTTTATATACAAACTCTGTAAAATAAAAGTCACGTCTGATTTTAACATGTTTAAGTTTATCTGTAAATCAAATGATGAGGTTTAGAAATAATCTTATCCTATGCGTGATAAGTAACCGTGATATTATCACTCTAAGCACTTTTAATAACCATCAATCTTGTTTTTTTTTGTTATTTTATTAAGAACGAATTTCTCATAAAAAATAATTGAATTTTTAAAAAAAAAACTTGCATTTCACAAATACGAAATCAAAACTTTGATTTGAGTAGTTAGTTTTATAAAACATATAGAAAGGGGATTTATAGAACATTTGACCTGTCAATATAGTTAGATTGCATAAAATCTTCCTATTTTCATCTCATAAGAATTATTATCACCATTTCTGAGTGAATTCTGTTTAAATAGTTTTATCTAATTGTCTAACTTATCAGAGATCATGAACTGATAAATGTTAGATCAACATTGAAGACTTGAAAATACTGGGTTGCTGTTTCATTCTAGTATGGGATTCCTCAGCAGTACGCACTCACGATCTTGCACGTAGGAATCTAACCCAGTACCGTCAGTCGCGCGCTTGAACGCTTAATCTTTAGATCACTAAGCTGGCATACAACTATTTTAATACCTAACCTCAACTAATCTATGATACTGCATGACCATCCTCTAGTCCTGCGTGCTGGATCGTGGGTGTGCACTGCTGAATACTCCCTTACTAGGTGGATTCAGCTGTCCATTTGCTTCAGGTTTTCAATGGTTGTCTAACATTGATCAGTTCATGATTTTAGTAAATATGAACAACTTTTACAATCCTTTACTGATATCAAAATTATTATTTGTCTCATCAGTTGTTACAAGAAAAGTTAGAATTCCTCCTAATCTATGGCAACTTTAAGCTAATATCTGTGCTCAATCTCATCACTGTAAAATATCTGTAGTAAAACAACAATTCTAGCATTTGAAGATGTAGATACAGTCAAATAAAAACATTTACTCATTATTACAGTAATACTGAACATTGAAAAATTTTTATACACTCTGAAACAAAACTTATTACTTAAATATTAAAAATAAGTAGTTATTCAAACTGCAGAAAACTGCTACTGACATGTGAAAAAGTGTTGGAATACCTTTTTGTGAATCGGTTCATGATCTCAATCAGAAACTTAACGATCTTCACGACCCCTAAAAAGATATTTATTTATCATATATAATGTATAATCTCTTCTTATAAAATTGTCAAAACAGCTATTCACTATAACTTGTGTTATTAGAAACTATGTTGTTAAGGACAAAGTCCAAAAAGATCAATGAATTTTGATAACTTAACAGTTTTATGGAAAATCAAGTCGTACTAGTCAAATTACCATACGTCCAATGAAGTGATCCAAAGTCAAAGGGATATATAGGCACACTTCGAATGAAACAGTCTTTGTGATCGAATTGAAACTTTCAAAAATATTGATGTGACTTACGATTTAAATGTTTACCATGAAAGGGAAAATTGACTTTAAGATATATTACAGTTTTTTAATTATTTCTATCTCAATAAATATTTAAATAAAAGTTAACAAATCATAGTCAATGTATAGCAATTAAAATATTGGTCAGCTAACATCAATGTGTCAACTTAGTATAACAAGACTGACTAGAAAAAATGAATTCTAAAGGGCTTAGAACAGTTTTAGTATTAGTTTTAATGAAGAAGTTTTAAAACTATGAATAGGATACAAAAGGGTTATAAATGAATGCATACTAAATCCTCATAACTAAAGGAAGACAAAATGTTAGTAGAGCTTTATTGATAAACATGACATAAACATCTAAACGTATTTGACATATTCAACTCACTGGTGGTTAATATGGTGTGTGCTACTGATGTCGACGGATATAAGTAGTATGTATCAACAAAAGAAAGTGAAATGCCTGGTGGCAGAAGGTTAAGAAGATAAAAAAATAGAATGAGAACAGCGATTGATTGCTGTGGAAATGAAGGAACAGTGAAGTGTAAGACAATTGATTGACATTTTGCAAATGAAGTATTTACTGCATGGTTCCCATATTTTGCTAAGAAATTCTGTAATTTTACGTTTAAATACATTCGATTTTTTCCTCTTCTGTGTTCACGTTCACTACACTACCAGTACTTAGACATAACTCATCTTCTTAATTCAATTTCATGAATTTAGGTAACAGTTATCTTAGTGCCCAGTTTTAATACTTATACTTATTGACTAGGATTCTTAAGTAAAATCAGTAACTATTTCACTAGAAAGAAGTAAAAACGAGCTGGTAATGTGTTTTATCAATTATTCATTATTAAAAGTAATGTGGACCAAAGATTAGTAACAGACCGATTGTTTTTCATTTCAAGAGGTTTAGAAATTTATCAAAACATTTTCGCAAAATACTAAACGAAAAGAAATTCTAATCATATATCTAACCAAGTATTTTTCTTATGTAAGTATATCTAAAGTTAATTATTGTAGAATAAACAACAAAACTGAAGATAAATCAACTTCAAAACGATATCAAAAATGATTTGTAACATGGCTGACCAAACAAACAGAATCTGAATGAAACCCAGTTGACAGGTATAATGGAATATTTTACTACATTTGAAATTAATTTATTTTGGCTTAACAAGCAATGGGTACATGGTTTAAAATAATCACTTATTTCACTCACAAGTTTTATTTAAAATAGTTATTTCAATCTACATCACCCTAATACAAACTTTAAAAGCAAAAACATCTTTGTAAAATGACAGTTTACTGCTATTTACTATCAACAGGGTCATTATGTGAAAGAACCTAACTTTCGAGTTGTTAAAACTCATAGGATACTAGAATACATATAAACATAAGTTTATTCAAGTAGTTTAATAAAACAAGTCAATTCTATATAACTGAATGTTTGATATAGTTCAAAATTAATTTAAAATAAACTTGTTTAATTTACTGATTGAAGTATACCCAATATGAGGACTCATTTCTTAAATGAAAATTACTATAAATTTGATGACATTTAATCAATCTTGTTAAACTCAATAATAGAATTCTACTAATACCGATTATTAAGTAATATGGGAATATTTATCATAAATTATTTTATATTTGTATATTTTCTTATTGTAAATTTATATCAATTATTAATTCATTTTAATTATATTACAATTTATTATTATTAATCCAATAAACTAGTTACTAAGCAAATATTAACAGTGAACAATGAAACCTTTACAAAAAAAATGCTGCATTATTATTCATACTACTTACATGAATAGTTTGATGTAGTTATCAAATGAAACTGTTTTTGTGTAATATAAATTAAAATCACACAATAATTTCCTATTTATATAGATATATGGAGTTAATTTGTTTAAACAATGTTGAATTTACTGGTCACGAATCTACAAATAATGTTGAAAGCACTGAATGGTTTTATTTATTTATTTTTTTCCACATTTAAAAAAAAATTGAGATGGGAATTAAGTATTATCACCTATAGATTAACCAATGAGATTTTATTTTAAGATCAGATAGACTAACTCATGTAATTGAGTTAACTTCATTCTGTTTTATTACTTAACTAATTTGGTTGACTAAAAAAGAAAAGTGAGTGGGATGTGATCATCTAATGTTTACTGATGTATTTTATTTAAGTTTATATATGTTAATAAGTAAGTATAGTTGCAATAGTTTCTTTTTTATTAGTTTCAGATTGTATATCTTGATTAGTACACTTCATTTTTATTTTTTTTTAGATTGAATAATGAGGGTGAAGGTGCAGCAGCGGGGTGGTAACAAGAAATTACTATCACATTATTATTGAAAAAAAAACAATAAGTTGATACAAACAAACATTTTCTGTATTCTAAAATAGTTTATTCATAGTTATACTAAATTAATTATTCGTCTTTTGACATTTCTCATAGTAGTTTCTTTTTATTAGTTCATATATATATCACAACTTATCATCAATCATTGGTTGACCGATATTTCTTAAAAGCGGATATTATTGAAGTGTAATAAATAAACAACAAGGAGTTACTTTAATGAAGCATAACTGATATGGTTAGTTTAATTAGAAAGAAAACAACTTTACTCCAGTTCTTGCTATCGTTGTTTTCGGTTTATATATATATATATATATATATATATATATATATATATATATATATATATATATATATATATATATATATATATATATATATATATATGAAATGAACTACACCTAATGTATGAATATTTGTTGATTCCAATCAATCATTCACAACTAATTAATAATAAATAAAAATAAATTATTTGTTTTCTTTCAAAAATAAAATATTTTTAATGGTTGATATGATACGTCAATTGAAGCTAGACCACTATTGGAGACCTAAAAGTACTGGACGGCCATTTCGTCCTATTGCGAGACTACTTAGCAGCGAGTATCCATGATCCTGAATCGCGAGATTCAAATCTAGGACCTATCAGTCTCTCAAGGGACCACTTAACCTCTAAACCACTGAGCTGGCCGGTATCCAACGGTGTTAATGTCTAACTTCAACTAATCAAGCAACACGTCCACTATTGTCTTTAATGAGTTATTATCTCTTATCAGACCTGGTTGAACTACACTCGTCAACTATTAAAATTACTACAATATCCATAAAAACCCCTTCTTATATTCAAATATTTTTATTAATTAAAATAAATAAGATTTTTTCGAATACAATGACTAATTTCATCTCTTTATTTAATACATCTTAACATATTACTTCTCTTATAAGAAAAAGAATCCATTTGTTTCACTGTCTGATGAGGATTTATGTCTTGATAGTGTTGTTCCAGAATCATGATAATTAATATTGTCACACAAATAGATGAGATCTTGTAACACTGTCATGGTGATTGAAATTTTGGTTTATATACCTATGGAACTACTTATGAAGTGAAATTAAATGTTTTTCACGTACAGCTGTAAATAATAAACATGATATTTCTAAACACTATGTAACTATTCAAGTTAATTGCAAAATAAACTATTTTATGAACTTCCTCTTTGAATTGTTACATAATACTTAATTATATACAAAGTAGCTTATGATAACAACCAAAACAATTTATGTTATTCTAAATGACACAATTTACAAAATTATCTATTAGTCAATTAGTTAAAACAATAAACGTAATAGATTTATGTTGTTACTTTCAACATTTTGATTATATCAAATTCAAGTTTGCTTTGTATGTACAACTATTCCATAATGTCTATTGAGTTCTGTCACACGAATTAAGATTTATTTTTTTTCAGATTCTTACTTTGAATGTTGAACTGAAAAGACTTTCTAAAGTTCACTTGTTTTATATTCCTTTTACAAGGGGACATTCAGAATCTTGGAAGTTTATAAAGATGTAATAAAAGTTATGCCCAAAATATATGGCATCATGTATTTTTGAAAATGATGAGTATTTTAAAAAACTACGATCTCCAAACTAAGCTTCTACAACACATGTAATTAACGGATCCAATGTAAAAACACGTTACTATTAAACAGAATATTTATGTTTACTTAATGTTTAGTAATGTTAGTAATAAATCTAATCATCAAAAATATGAAGTGTTCTATAGAGTTCATTATAACGTCCACTAATATTATAACAGTATAGATGATTTTTTTTAGTTTACTTCATAAGCTTACTAGGTATTTTAAAATAATGTATTAAGACTGATTACTGACATCGTTTCATTATATTTCGTCTTGCATTTAGATTGCAATTAACATCAACAGGTACTTTTAAGTTAGATGATATTCTCTCAACTTTTTGACAGTAACTAACAATATCAAACTTCATGAAATGAACATTCTTTGCCTAATCTTCATTAATCATACATTCACGGTGACTAAATCTGATATTTTTTCTTTGGTTTATTGATTCTCTAGCAATTTATTGTTTCTTTACAGATGAATATAAGATCACCCTAGGCTTTTCAATGATCTTTGGTGAAACAAAAGTTGAACTGTCGAGCATTTATGAGTGCCAACTATTGTTTTTGTAAAGATTATTGTGTATTACCAATTTTTTTTTATTCCAGAATGTAATCAGCGTCAAAAAAGAATGATGTTAACATATTCTTAAAATGGTTAACAGTGTTTTTGAATATTAACTAAGAAAGATTGGTTCAGCGAAGAGTTCTCTTTTCGGCGAATTCCTTCTCAAAGCTGTACAATCACAAATATGTATAATAATTTTTTTCAGGATGATATTACTTACAATACTTATGATAATAAAAGTCTGTTAGACATAGTGATAGTGAGGTAAAATAAACAAAGGTATTAGAAAAATAATCGTTCGATTGCTAGTGGCTTAATAATTCATAAAAAGATAGATAGGGAAATTATCAATGGGAAATGATGGATCAGCATGATAAAATAAAATGTTGAAATTGAGATTAAATTTAATCAGGAGGATCGTAGAAACAGAAATAAACTAGTTGAATGTAGAAGATTCAAGGAGAAGATGGAAGGTGAAGCAGATGGCTATAGAGAAAGAAGAGTATAAAGAAAAATTTAAAAAAAATAAGGCATTAAAACCATGGTAGAAGAAGAGGTTGTACCGATCACTTGCGGACATACAATTCTGGTTTTTCCAGATGTATAGCTATTGCTTCAACAATGCTAAAAAGATGAAATATAAATGTCTTTGGAAGATTTCTATTTACCTTGTAGATAACTTTAAATACAGAGTCTAACCTATGTTCACAATGTTTTGGTTTATTGAACTTCTTAATGAGTCGTTTCCTCTTCTTCTTAACTACACAGGATAATATTCTTGAATTCTTTTGTATAATGTACTCATAGAACGACCTTTATATCTGGCTTCACATGAGCAAGTAAATTGATAAATATTACCGAAGTTTATGAAGTTTAATTTTTCAATTATTACACAAACTACTAACTACTACAAACTACTTGATATTTTATTCGCTATGTTTGTTGTTCAAAACTCATATTTATTCATGCTTATTTAATTTCAAATAAACTTTTCGGATAAAAACAATCTATCTAATTATGTTTTCAATTAAATCTAGTGATTTGTATTACTTTTTTTTATATTTATCTGAATTGTTTAATTGTTACATTACTACTTAATAATAATTGATGATTAATTTCATTTCTAAATTGACTTTAGAATCATATTTGTCAATGAATTAATAATGAGTTAGTTGATTTAACTTATATGTTTGTGATTTTAATACTAATAGCTTTACAAAATTAATGTTAGGTTGGAATTTATTAGTTTAATGATTTTTGAATGGATGATTCTAATTTTTTGATCAGAATCAGGTTTGTGGAGATTGTAGTATTTTAATAGTTGAAAACTTGAAAGCACAGGAGTTCTAATGAAAGCTGTAACTAGTGGAGTCCAATCCGTGTCGAGTAGAGACAGATATTTACGTCTGACAATCGATGAATGCTTACAAAGTCATTCGTGGATCGATGGAAACTATATATTAATACCGATGGCTGCCGGCTCAGCAGTCTAGAGGTTAAGCGTTTGCGCATGAGACCGATAGTTCTGGGTTCGAGTTTCGCGTTCGAGTTAGTGAATGCTCATTGCTTATGAGTCTCATACTAAGACGAAATAGCCGTTCAGTGCTACCAGGTCCACAATTGTGGTCTAGCTTTAACCGACTCATGGATGTAACTATTAGGATTTTTTTAAACTGTGAAAAGCTAGTAATATGTGTAAGTCATCTATGTGTGATAAACACATAATGTAAATACAAACTGAAGCTTGATTCTTACTAACTGTTTTGTCATATTTCTAATTTTTCGAAGTTGGAATAGTTGATTTCATACAAAGTATCTTTCTGTTCTGATGTGATTATGAACATTGCTGGTACATCCAGATGATGGGTCCCAAATACGACGAAACGGACATCCTAAGTTCTACTACTAGATACTGTTCGACTCTGCTTATAAAATAATATAATGTCAACACTCTGTTTACTACTTAGTACAGTGCTAAAGATGAACTTTCATCAATTTTCATGAGTCTTACTTGGTCTTAAGATGGCTAAAATAATGACTTTCTATGTTAATATTTTGATTATTGAAGTTTTACTAACAGACTTGTATAAGCGGGATCGAACTTCCTACTTGCAGTAGGGCGGTCTGAAACATGTATAAACCTTTGTAAGACAATCTGATGTATCAGTTCAGCATCCTTCTATAATGTAGTTGTAATTTATTTGTATGCTAGTAAATACTGAAAAAAATATTATAGTCTGTTACTATTGTGCCATTTTTAAATCTTTTTGCTGAGACATAAACTTTGAAGGCTATAAGTCATTAAAGCTTTGTACCAAATTTTTGTGTAGTTGGTAAACAAATAAATAATGTACAGAAGAACATGTTTTCAAA